CCTTAAAGAAATGTTCTATTTCTCCAAGAGTAAGAGAAATCCATCTGGGGAGAGCTGTACTCCAACTTTTTTATTGTCTCCTGAGATCCCATTTTGAGCTGAGCCTTATCAACGATACACGGCATTGTATTTGCTTGCATAATGAAGAGCTGTGTTTGCCACTTTGTCACCTGTTATGTTATCACCACTTCTAACAGCTTTGCTTTGGACACCCATGAGATTCTCTTAATGACATCCAGCAGCTCTCCAGCAGTCTTTCCCAGCACCATTCCCTCATCTCTCTTATCAAAAGGACAAGAGTACTTTCAGTTTCCTTCTTAAAAACCAAATCATGCATTACCAGATCCCAGAGGTTTACAACTTTGATGTTTTCATCATTGAATCTGGGAAAATAGATGCAGATGGATGAGCAGTGTTACCACAACTGTGTTGTTCACACGGTGTGCACTCATTATTGGGATAAGAAGTCATCAACATCCCGAGAGATTCACAGGACACCATCATCCAATCAGAAGGATGCACATAGGAGCGCGAGTGTGTGTGTGTGTGTGTGTGTGTGTGTGTGTGTGTGTGTGTGTGCTATTTCATAACCTTCTATATCTCTGAAACTGATCAGCTAGACCTAAGAAGTTATTCAGCTCTTTCCGGAAGGGCTTCAGCAAATACCAGAACAGAGTTTGTGCCATCTCCAACTTCTTGAGAGGCCATGATGTCGTTTGTGCAGTAGGATGTTATACTTCCCGGTCTTTCAAAATGGGCTCTGTATAATTTATCACAAACCACTCCCCAGGAGACTGAAAAACATTTAATTCATTCCACTTGGTTCCTATGCTGTATGGAAAGTTTGGGAAGATTCCTTGCAAGGTTGTGTTTTTATATAGAAGAGGTTTCCAGCTTCTTCTAATGCTGAAAAATGTTTTTGTTTCATCCTCATTCATCTGGGATAAGCCTGGTGGCCTGGGGACTTGAAGTGATGTGGTCAGCCTGCAAGAGCTGATTATGGGCTCCTTTGGAAATCTGGAGGAACTAAGGGGCAGGCAATCTCAGCTGCTTCCTTCCTTCTCTCCCTCCCTCTTTTCCTTCCTTTCTTCTTCCTCCTCCTCTTCATGCCTCCTCCTCCCCCTCCTCTTTCTACTTCTGTTCCCCTGCTCTTCCTTCTCCTCCTTTTCTTGCTTCCTCCTCTCTCCTCTTTCTCCTTCTCTTCTTCCTGCTTTTCCACCTCCTCCATCTTTCTTTCTTCTTCTTCCTGTGAGACTGGGTCTTTCTATGTAGCCCAGACTGTCCTTAAACTCATCATTGAACCTCAGCCTCAAGAATTCTAGGGTCACAGGTGTGTGCTACCACACCTGTTATGCTTGCTTTTCAATTTCTATATACAGTGCTTTAGAGATTATGCGAAGAACAACATTGAATCTGTAGGTGCCTGTGTGTGTCCAAGCATACCACATAGCATATATGGAAGTCTGAAGATAGCTCGTGGACTTTGTTATCTCCTTTTACAATGTGGGGCCTGTGGGTCAAACTTAGGTTGTCAGGTTCAGCAGCAAGCATGTTTACTCACAGACATCTTACTGGTCCTACACACACACACACACACACACACACACACACACACTCATGAAAGAGAGAGAATATGTCTAAAATTTACTAAAGAGGTGGTGATTGATATTTTCCCTTTGCTTTGCCCCCACCCCTTTCTGTGCTGTCTCCTGGGCTGCGGGCTGTGTGTCAAGATCAAGCTGAGTGTCCCCTTCCCAGCCACTAGCTGTCAGAAGTGCACTGCAGTGAACAGTGAATGCAAATGTTGTACTTTCTATGAGAAGCCAATAGTCGCAGACATTCCTGATGAAGTTCTAGATGAAGGATGGGAGGGTTACGAGGTCTGAATCAGCGGTGAGAATGGTAAACAACGTTTTCCTATGAAGCAGGGTGTCTAGACCACAGCAGACCCTCTTTTGTTGTTGAGAAAGGGCAATTTTTGTAGAGACCGAAGAAAGGAAGCACAAATCTCTTCAGGGATGCATTGTGAATGATGTTCTCAAAGTGGTTATTATAGAAAAAGGAGAGAGGGGTAGTACTATGCCGAGAGAGAGACACCACTGTGTCTCAGCAGTTGAGGCCCCAAAGAGCTCTCAGAATATGAAAACTTTTCAGTCTCTCTAAAGACAATGATGTCCACTAGTATGTTGGCAGGATGTCCTTTAACAGAGAAGGCGAGAAGCCCAAGACCAGAGCCCCAAGGAGTTGGCATCTTTTTATGCCACATGACCCACCACAAAAAGCTCATGAAGCTCTGAAGAAATATGGCACCAAAAATAAAGACTATGCTAAACTTTTGGCTGAGAATGAAGAAGGCTGAGAGCTTCTACTTAAATGCTGGGTCCAGTTAAAAATCAGTCTTTAAGGGTAATAAATAGATAAATGATCAGACTTGAAAAAAAGAAGAAAAATTCCCCCTTTGCCTTTCCCAGGTATGTTAGGGAGGGGGGAAACTTCTTACAGTGTAACCTTGTGATTCTTTTTTGCCAACATAAGTGCAGCTTATGAAAATGTCAAATGTTTCAATATTTTAAAACTTTAGAAAGGGTCTTTATGATCATGTATTAAGTTCAGTTTTGACAATTTGACACAATGTAGCTAGAATCACCTAGAAAAGAAGTTTCAATGAGGGATTGTCTAGGCTACTGGGTCCCTGTGGTTATATTATATATAGGTGGTGCCGTTCTCTGGGCAAGGGATCGTGGATTGCATAAGAGAGGAGAAATCAAGCAAAGTTAGCATAGGTTAGTCCATTGCTTTCTGCTGTGATGTGGTGCCATCGGTTGTTTCAAGTTCCTGTCATGCTGACTTCCTGCAGATAAAATTGTGAGCCAGGAGAAGCCCTTTCTCCATTAACCTGATTATGTCCAGGTATTTGGTCACAGCAAAAGGAAAGGAAATGATGGCATCATGCCGTATCAAGAAAATAAATGTGGAGTGTAAACAAGGTGATAGAGTTTGAAACCCTATCTCGAAGAACCAAGAAACGAAAAAAGGACAGAAAATGCCACAGACATCCTATAGTATAGAGGTAGTTCCTCAACTGAAGGTACTCTTCCCAAATGTATCAAGTCAACAGTCAAAATTAGCCATCCCAGCCTGTCTGCACTTGTCTTTGCTCGGTGCAGCATTCTTTCCTGCGGGAATGAATCTTCCCTCAAATAGAAGGGAGTAGGTTTCATAGCTTGTTTCGGACCAGACGTGTCTATTTTATGTGGCCCACTTTGGGGAAGAGGAATCCTGATTTCTATGACTGGCTTAGGGTCAACAAAGGTGCAGCACAGAGTTAGGGGGATTTGGCTTTCAAGTATAGGGATGCTAAAGTATGAATGTGAGGAGCTGTGTTCTGAGTCCCTGAGAGACGCCCAAATTCTTAGAAATGTTTGCACCTAAACTGGCTTGTGGTATCTGCTAGTTTGGGCAAACCGGTTGAAAATTGGTATCTCACGATTTTAGTTTCTATTTCCTTACACGGGAGGAGTTCATGCTCTGCCTTTGCTTTCACATTTCTTTGACTTCACTGGGCTAGATTTCTTGTGTGCCAGGCTTCAGCGCCACCTGGCCAGGTGGTTGAGTTCTGTGGGCAGGAGGGTACCTTCCCCTTGTGCTTTGAGCTCTGCTCCAGGTGATGAGCCTGGGCGGACCCCGCTGGCTGGGGATCGGGCTTGAGAAAGCGCTGGACAGATTAGGACGCGGCCCAGGAATCATCCCAAGTCCCAAGAGAAGCCCAGATGCCCGTGGGGCATCTTGAGCTGGAACCACAAAGGCGCCCAGAGACCGACCCAGTCGGGCGCCGCCCTTCCAAACTGAGTCTCCAGAGTGACGGAACTGGAAAGCGAAAGTGGAACCTGCTCGCCGCCAGCTTTAGGCTTCCCGCTGGCTGAGCATCTCCCACTGGCAAATCGCTTTAACCCGGGTTGAGGATCAGGGAGGCGCGCCGAGGGTCCCGGGGCACGTATCCCGCGTGATCGCGCGCCCCGAAGTGGCCGTCGTGGGGCGGTAGGTCTGGCTCCCACGAGTGGGGACACGGGCGCCTTTAGCAACCGCCTGCTGAACAAGCAGGGACTCGCGTGTTTCTCTGGAAGGTGGTTTGGGCGGCACTGGGATTAGGAATGGGGGCAAGGACAGTGACCCAGAAATGGAGGCCATAACTAACTACTGGAAGGAGCTAGTAAGAAGAGTACCAACTGAGGGCACTGGAATGCTGACCCTCTCTCCTTCGGCGCTAGGCCTTTGACCAGGGCCCCAGGTTTTTGTCTAGATACCCAGTTACTGTGCATATGTGAGTTTCTGTACATGTTTCACCTGATGAGAGAGAGAGAGAGAGTGTGTGTGTGTGTGTGTGTGTGTTTTATTTGGTGAGAGTCAAGGTATAGTCCATGAAAATAAACAAGTGATCGAGAAAGCAAATAGAAACTAAAATAGCAAATGAAATATTTCTTCTTAGTGCCACACTTAAAAGGTAAGCCACCTTTTTCTTCCTTCCTTCCTTCCTTCCTTCCTTCCTTCCTTCCTTCCTTCCTTCCTTCCTTCCTTCCTTCCCTCCTTTCTCTCTCTCTCTCTTTCTTTCTTTCTTTCTTTCTTTCTTTCTTTCTTTCTTTCTTTCTTTCTTTTCTTTCTTAAAGCAGAGCATGGAAACTGTAAAATGACACCATACCTCTGCTGAAATTCCCTTGTTTCACAGTCTTTGAGTGGATTGCTTTCTTCAGGACACTCGGTTTTTCTTCTCTACGGTGTATACAGAAATCTGGCAATTCTCTGCTCATAACAGGTCTCTGGAGAAGACATGCAGCCGTATGTCCTCATGCATAAGTGAGTTAAGAAAAAGGCGCAGGGTATTGAAGTAGCTCAGGAGATCACAGCATGCAGTGAGGTCTTGCAAAACAAGGTCTACAGGGAGCCTCTTTGATTATAAACTGTGTGTAGACTCTTGAATTAAGAAACACATTAGTGCCGTTGAGTTGTGAGAGTTCCTGAGCTCAAATGGACTTTTGTCGTTGACATTGATGAACGGCTGAAAGGACAGTAGTTCACCAGCCAGTTACCACCAAGGCTGGTGTGGGCTGTCAGGACACTGTGCCGCAGAGATAAAAGCCAGGAAGTCACCCAGCCTGGAAATCTGAAAAGTCCCTCTTGTAAGAGAAAATTACATTAAGTGTCTGGGGACTAGACTGAGGAACACTTCGGTACGGCGTATTTTCAGAATGCCATCTAGAAAACAGGTCGTTTACTTGTATTAACATGGCTTCTTTGGTATATATGCAGTGAATTTTTACTTTTTATATTTTTGAAGATTTTACCTTCAAGAGGTCTTCCTTTGTCTTGTATTCTATCCACATGAACCATGTGCAGGCCCCCCCCCCGGGTTGGGGCGCGAATCTGGGGTGCGGAAAACAACTTCCCCCTCCCCTTACCCCCTTCCCCTCCACTCCCTTTGGGTTGGTTGCCCAAGACAATATTTCTCTGTGTAGCCCTAGCTGTCCTGGAACTTGCTTTATACACCACCCTGGTCTTACACTCACGGAGACCCACCTGCCTCTACCTCCCAGTGCTGGGATCTAAGGTGCACACTGCCACTGCCCAGCCTGAAAACGTCTTTTACTTGATATTTGGTTGTATCTACTCCAATTCTACTCCAGCCTTCGAGGCCTCTCATACATGGAGACTTTTATACTTTAGCCAGAATTAATTTTGCTTCTTAATCCTGGGTGGCATTTATTGTAGTTTTATAGTATTTTATTGTGAGTGACATGTGTTCTAAATGAGGTGTTCTATTTCTTTCTGTGGAGCAATAGAGCTTGGTTGCTTTTATGCAAACCGAGCTTCTTTGAAATGATTTAAGTGTCCTTCTCATCCACGAGGTAGAAGTCCCCACCATATGAATTGTAAAGCCCATCGAATGCTCCATGGCAGAAAGGCGACACAGTACATTTTCATTCATTAAATTTATTTTATCGTATTTTATGTGTGTGTTTTGCCTGCATGTATGTATGTATACCACATACAAGCCTGGTGTTCTCAAAGGCTAGAAGAGGGTGTCAGAACCCCTTGAACTGGAGTTATAGGCAGTAGTGAACCATCACGTTGGTGTTGGGAATTGAATCCAGGTCCTTTGTAAAAGTAGCAAGTAGTCTTAACTGCTGAGCTATTTTTCCTCAGACCCTTACAGTACATGTTTTGAAGAGAGCAGAATTTCAGGATGATAGTTTTCTTTCTGCTCACCAATTCTAGTGCCCAATGGGTTGTCAGATGTGGAATGTAAGCTGGATGAATACAGTTTTTATTAATGTCTTAAGTGATAGGAGGTATGTGTTAAGAATGTTATACATACATTGTAAACTTAAAAACACAATTTTATTAGATAGGGACATGCATGCCATCTCATCTTGATACAGCGACTTGGTGAAAGGCAGAGATTCTGAGACCGTACATCTCCTGGGCCATCACCACTACTGTTTTCTGAATTCTGCTATGGTAAGTGAGGAGGAAAGACTGCTTTCTTCCATTTTCAGCTTTGGAAGCTGTACTATAATGTCACTTAAAAATTTTTTTAGGCTGTTTTTGTATCTTCTACATCGTACTTAACCGGTGTATAATATTACATAATTCTCTGTAATGTAACCACGTCTTTCCCCCTTTAATTTCTGTTAACACTGGCTTTATTCTTACATGGACAGTGTTGGACATTTTCATTTTCTTTTGTAGCCATTTTTGAGTTTTTGGCATTGTAAAGACTTAGCATGTTTAGTCTAAAAGTTAAAACTCACCAGTGGCGCATCCTAAGGAGCAAATACGGTTCCAGCAGGGTCTAATTGCTTGCTAAAGATGCTCTCCCCCTTTCGGTCTCATGTCATGTGTAATCTTTCTTTGCCACATAGAGGGAGATGTTTCTAATGATGCTCAAAAGTATCTTTTCCATTTTCTCTTTCCTCTTTTACTTAAGATTTAGCTCGCTCGTGATCTTTAGGCTGGGATCCCTTCAAATGCCGGAAAAGAGGCGGCAGTGTTCACGTGTGCCCAGGCTAACTAGCGTCTCTAGAGAGTTAATTTAGGTTTCTTTCTTAAGGAAAAGGATCGTCAGTTTTCACTGAGGTCTGTACCAGTGTCTGCCACTATGGGGTTTGTGTGCTCAAGCCTGTGTGTGAGTCTAAGTTGGGGCCAGACTGTGTTCGGAACAAGCTGGAGCGAGTATTTACTGGTAGCCATCCATGACTTGTTGTGCATGTTCCTTTTCTTCACGTCCGAGGGTCTGCCGTGTAGACTGTCACCTTTACCCCGCAATCTCCCTTTCCTTACTCTACGTTTATTTCTTCTGTCCCACCCTTACATACATCTGAGTATATTTTTGTCTCTCTGAAACTGATTAAAGTCTGTCCCAGTGAATTAAATTTACTCTTTTCCTTTAAGGCTGTCAGGGCTAACAGTGTGTGTGCAGAGACCATTCATTTGCCGTCCTTCTGGGAAGCTGGAAACAGGCTTCTCCCCCAGACGGATCTTAGTTGAAGTACAGTCCTTGCGTTGAGAGCCCACAGGTCCTTTGTGGTTTGTTAACCATCAGTCCAGCTCGGGAGGCGTTGTCCTTCCTCCACTAGTTAAGACAGATTATGTCTGAACTTTGCTGCAATTGGTCCTGACTAACCGCACACATCTTGGGTGAGGCTGAGGCTGATGGAGTCACTGAGATGGGAGACAAATGAAGGTGTTAAGTAGAAGTGAATTTAAAAGGTGGATTTAGATGAAGGATTTTTGCTGTCGACTCCACATGGCAGCAGCTTCTGCAAGACAATGTCCCTCTGTGACTCACTGTCACCTCAGACCCCTGGTGGAAAGTGGGGTGTGGTCTACACAGCCACTACATTTATTGCAAGACTTCCCATTGATTCTGACCATAAGAGGGATGCCTTTCTCACTGGCTTACATACTTGGGACTCTATAATCCTCTTTCAAATGTTGCCGTTCTTGTAGTTATTTTAATAAACCCAGGACGTTGCACACATGACTCAAGTACTCTATCACTGAGATGTATCCAAAGCCACTTTTAAACTGTTAAAAAAAAAAAGAATGATACATCTCCCTAGGTGTGGTTGCATACACCTTTAATCCTAGCACTTGGGAGACAGAGGCAGGAGGATCTTTTGAGTTTGAAGTCATGCAGGTATAAATAGCAAGTTCAAGGTCAGCTAAAGCTAAATAGAAAGACCCCATCTCAAAAAGTAAACAAAATCAATCAACCTACCTCTCTCTCTCTCTCTCTCTCTCTCTCTCTCTCTCTCTCTCTTCCTTTCTTTCTTTTTCATTTTCTTTTTTTCTATGATTCTCTTATTTTGGGCCTTCCTAAAATCAAATATGTAATACTATTTTCTATCTCTTAGAAAAATAAAGGGGTCACTCTACACAGGACTCTCAAATTTGACTGAGGTCCGTGTTGGTAGATAGAATGAGGCAAACAAACTCCTGCTGGTCATCTCTGTGGAAGGAGGTCTTGCATGTCACTGATGTGATGGTACCTTTCAGTAGATTCCTATTTAAACACTATCCAACTGTTTTCCTGCAGGCATCAGCATTGCAGGTCAAAGGTCCCACAGTTTCTGAGAGGACAGTTGTGGTTTCTGGACTTCCAGTTGGCCTTTCAAAGGAACAGTTAGTGAATCGCTACTTCCAAGATGAGGGTAGACATGTGGAAGAGGTGATATATCCATCAAAATCCAAAGGAGTTGCATATATCATCTTCAAGGAAACAAAAGGTATTTTTTAACCAAGATTTTATCATCTGAGAAGTGCTTGCTTAGTGACATTAAAATTTCATATTGTGAAAATGATTGATGGAATTGACAGCGATTGACGTAGTATTAAAAATTATTCAATTCTGAAAAGTGGCCAGTGTTATATTTGCAAAAATACATGAAAATAGCTCATGAAAATGTGTCAGTGAGTAAAAAAAGTTTTAAGACTTTAAAAAGTATTTTGCTTCTATCTATCTATCTATCTATCTATCTATCTATATCTTGGGAGGTAGATATAGAACATGTATAAAATAAAGTTAAATTACATATAATCTCCTAGATAAGACAGCTACTTTGGCCAGTTTCAGGTGGCAACAACAATATAATTATACTCTCTTCTTCTAATCCCTCAAAATATCAAATGGAAAATCTTTTTTTAAAGATTTATTTTATGTATATGAGTATACTGCAGCTGTCTTCAGACATAACCAGAAGAGGGCATTTGGATCCCATTACAAATAGTTGTGAGCCACCATGTGGGTGCTGGGAATTGAACGTAGGTAGGACCTTTGGAAGAGCAGTCAGTCAGTGCTCTGAACCACTGAACAACCTCTCCAACTCATCAAGTGGAAATTCTAATGACGAATCTGCTTTGTTATAACGTTGAACTGAGAACTATGGCAGCACCTGGAATAGGACTGAGCCATTCTGCTTCCCGCCTCAGCTCGAAACAGGCAGCTGGTGGCTGCAGATTGTCCTCGCTACTCCAGCCTGGAGGAGGGACAGTCATTTTTAGGTTTAGACGCTAGAGGAATAGATGCCAGAGAACATTTTCCGTGCTCTACAGTGTTATGAGTGAAAGTTTCGTGCAAGTGTGTTAGAAAAAAAAGGCTCATGTTCTGTTCTGTTTGAGGAGGTTCATGGGGGGAGGAAAAGCCATGTTCAGGTTTGTGGCAAGGGCTTGTCATATCTTTAAAAATTCGGAAGTGGTGGTGTAAGGTAATTTTTTTTGTTTGCTTTTGTAAGGTAATTTTTATATGCTGAATATTGCTAACTACTATTCTAGATGTTGAGAACAAAACCATGAATAGAATAGGCAGTCTTGGTTTTCATGAAGTGTACATCAATGAGGTTGGTCTTTTATTGGGGCAACAGATGTATAATATGTTTGTGCTTTATTTATAGCTATATGTTTACATTTGTTTATATGTTAACATATAAATGTTATGAAAAAGTATAAAGAATAATAAAGAGATTAAAGTGATGGTGGTACCGTTTTAGGTAGACTAGGTCGGGAAGTTTCTTTTGCTCTTTTAACATTTTATTTGAAAAAAGTTATCTCTATTATTTTTATTTTATGGTGTGTGTATGTGTGTGCACGCGCATGAGTGTCTGAATGTCATGTGCATAGAGGTACTTGAGAAACCCAGAAGAGGGAGTTGGATCTCTGGCGCTGGAGTTACACACAGGAGATTGTCAATCTCTGGATGTGGGTGTAGCAAGTGAGACTTAGGTCCTCTAGAAGATCAGTAAGTGTTCTTTCCTGGTGCACCATCTCTCCAGCCCTCTTTCTTATTTACTTTTTGAGATGGAATTTTATCGTGTTACGTGGGAAACGTGTGTGTGTGTGTGTGTGTGTGGTGTGTGCGTGGTTGGGAACTACATCCAAGCTAGCTTTCATGTATACTAAGCACATTGGGGATAGTACCCAAGAATTTATCTAATGCTGTACCAACAAGATGTGTTCCCAGATCTGAAATACTCTGTTTATGCAACAACTGAGCAGAGACCAGAATGAAGCAGAAGGGGTGGGGGTAGTAAGAGGATAGACAGGGGTTCATGAGGTTAAAGGGGAAGAACACTCTAGGATAAATGAAGGATTGGTAAAAATTGTTGAGGTGGGAAGTGTGGTGAAGAGGGCAGGGGAAGTATGTTGAGTGTTTGCAGAAATTGGAAGGCAGGAGTGGAATTGAGTGTGGGCAAAGTAATAGGTGGGGGTAGCTTGTGAGCCAGGACCCCTGCGTGCTGAGCAGCCTGCAGTCTAGGAGAGGTTTCTGGGTTGCTTGTGGTGAGGTGGGAGCTGTTGGAGGTTCTAAGTAAGGGACTGAGGATAGGAGTTGTTGTTTTGAAACACTGTTGCAGTGCGGAGAATAGGATCTATCTGTGGATGCTGCTGAACAGAGACTAGAGCAGAGCCAGTGAGTACTAAGCACAGACGTTTGAGGATGCTCAGGGGAACACTGACCAAGAAGCGAGCATTCCTTGATGTGATAAGTAGGGGCAGAGGTTTGGAAGTGATACATGTAGAGATGTCTAAAGCCGAAGAGGCTGAGATTAGCCGTGGGTGGTTATAGTGGGCAAAGAGGCCTGCGGTCCGGATTTGTTAGTGTTGAGAGAAGGGCAGGGGAGTGAACAGAGTTAGGACAAAAACTTCAGCAGTGTGGAATTTGTGGAAGGCAGTAGTTCTCTGATGGATGGCATGGAAGATTGACATTATTGCTTTTTTACTCATGTATGGGTTGTGTGTAAAGTAGAATTAAGTCAATTAAATAAAAATAACAAATAAAATTGTAGAAGACCAAAAAAGGTAGAATTAATACCTACTAACACGTTTATGGTGAACTTTAGTGTGTTAAAGCACAAAGGAAATGTTATTTGAACGTCAGGTGTAGGAGAAAAAATGTAGCAAAGAAATCTTACTTTGCAAACAATAGAACTGAACATCTCTGTTTGTAAATTAAGGTACTTATTGGTGTGTTATGCCATAAACACTTTTGATGCTAATGTTTCCTAATGTTTCCCTAGTTGCACAGGATGTCATCAGACAAAAGAAACATCCTCTAGGTTCAGAGTCTCCGCTTCCAGTCTCTCACTTCAGTGGACAGGTGAGTGTGGGCCCTGGGGTGTGTTTTGAGGCCTGGACCCCATTTCTTTTGGGAAGTCTTTCATACACAAGGATACACAGAGTGTTCTGGTTCCATGACTTCTTAGGAATGAAAGTAGACACTTCTCAGTTCTCAAAGGCAAAAGCTGCCTCTAGAAATGTTGTTTTTGTATTTCAACATTGTGTGTGTCCTGTGATGCCTTTAAAGTGACCATGAGCATTTTTTGCTGTCATGGATGACAGCAGGGTTGAAGGCTTTATACTGCGGAATAATTAAGATGAATATTGAAAAGGAACTTTGGAAGAGCAAGGAAAGTGGGTATAAGAATGAAAGTTAAAATCTAACCTGCCAGTTCCCACGTAGATTCTTTAGGGAATCCAGGCTTCTGGTGTAGCCAACTATTGAAATTTAAGCTGAGAGAGGTAGGGCAGGCCTGACTGCCAGGAGATGTCTGGACTATGGCTTACACCAACAGTTTATATATATTGATGGATTCTGAAAAGCACTTCGTTTCAAAACAGCATTTTGTCTCAAAATATTGTTTTACTTTTCATTTCTGGGGTGTGTAGTGTGGGCTGTGGATCCGTGTGGAGCATGGTAGGCTCTCTGAAGGGTGATTTAGAGAGAAAAGCCAGAAGCCTAGGCTTTGTCTTAGAGCTAGCTCTGAACGGCTGCTAAGAGTAGCAGGAGACAATGTGTCGGTTCTCACTCCCCTAGGCCGTGCTGTCTTGACTTTTTTCTTTTTCTTGTGTTGTAGGTCTTCAACTATGTGATGGCCATTCTTGATTTGTCTGTTTTTCGGACTCAAATTGTGCTAGAAAGTCTAGTAGTGGACCTGAAAAAGAAAATCCCAACTTTAAACTTTAGCCCATTGGCACCCAGTGGGAAAATCTCTGTGCAAGGTTCATATCTGGCCTTCATGAAGCTCAAACAGGTTTTGCTATCAAAAGCCATTTCCCCTTTAGAAAACAACAGGAATTATGCTGGTGAAAGGAGAAATCGGAACGGACAGAACCCTAGAAGGGTCCTGCAGGAAAGCAAGAACTCTGTGCCAATACGCGGTACCTCTGTACCTGAGCCTGCCGGCAGCCCGCCAATACTGAGGACCTCTGTACTTGAGCCTGCTGGCAACCCAGAAACACTTGTACTTGATACAGATATTTTCCTTTACCTGAAACACAAGTGTGAGTTTTATGAGCTAACGCTGAGCAAATATCATGTCCTGTGTCAGGAGACGGTGGATGGTGACATCACTACCATTTGTCTACAAGATGACCTGGATGGGTCTTGTCCTGGCAGCGTCAGACATGTGAAAGAGTTCATTGAAGAGTGTGCCCAGGAGTTTCACCTTAAGCTCAGAAAAGAGCTTCTGGTTTTGGAAGGAAGGGGAGATAGAGAGAAAAGAAACATCAGGCAAGCTTTTGAACAACTGTGTTGCAGATATCCTAGAGTTTTGATGAATGTTCACAGCACACATATTGATCTTATAGGACCTCCTTCCGACACATACCTATTTAAGACACAGCTCATGAAATCTTCAGGGCAACAGGTCACTTGAAGTCTTAGCCACAGTTATCATCATGGTCACACCCCTCCCCTCCCCCACCCAGGGTGTAGGAGAAGGTTTAGGAACATGAAATTACTTGTCCAATGTTATCCAGCAGACAACGAACAGGACTGGCATTGAATAAAAAGTAATATCTAAATCAAACCTTGAAAAAAGAACTGACTAAAGGTTGAGGAACTCTCACTTTCCCTGCAAATCCAAAATTGTTAGGAAAAGAAGTCTCCCCCTGCATAGGTTTGCATGACTATTATGCCGTTAAGCTCTGGGGGTTTGTATTCACCTTACATAGAGTTAGAATGTTGCCAGGCTCACTTGAGAAGCTGTGGTTCTGTTAGAGTTGTGGGAATCTTGGGAGAAGTCTGTGTGATGGCTTTTGTGTGTTGTTTCTTACTTTACGGTAGTGTGGTGTCCAGATGAACATTGGAAGTTGAAAACATTGTGATTCAGAAATGCTTTGAATCCAAGTAATTTGCAGAACACCCTAGACTTGCCAGCCTGCCCACGGTGAAGACATGACTGCTTACCCTGGTTGCTGCTCTGACTGACAGCTCATTGCTCATTGCTGCTGCTCGGCACTGTCAGAGCCTCGTACAGTGGATCAGCACTAGCCTGGAAAAGATTCACTGTCTGAAGTACGATTTCTACTGACTCTTTATTGCTTTTGCACCATAATAAAGTACAACTTACACAAAAATTAAATTGTGAGCTGCCTCATTATTGAGCCAAGGATCATCTGCGTTCAGAGCAGCCACGATCTTCTTCTTCAAATGCTATTACTTTAGCAGTACAATGATAAAGACAAAGGAAAGCCATAGTGATTTGTTTCCAGGTCTATGACTCCCTCGACTTTAGCCTTAGAGTAAGTCAATTTTACATAATGGAGCTCTGTAGAGCTCATCTTAGTTAATAAATAATAGAACTATATCAGTCCCTCTTAAAGTAAACCAACATACTTGTGATTATTGTATCAGTAGAGAAGCCTAAGAAAAAATCTATTGGGTCTTTATTTTTCTTTGCCATCTAAATCCAAAATTGTTTAAATACTTTGTCTCCTTAGTATATTTCTGTCACCAAAACCACAGACAACAAATCCAAAACTTGACAAGTGAGACTACATCAGTCTGAACAACATGTGTGTCCCAGAGGACGTGATCAGTTTGGAGAAAAGAATGCTTCCACTTGTTTGGGATGCTGTAACAGGTTTTGAGAGGTAACTTAAGCAATAGACATTTCTCACATTTTAAAGGCCAGGGAGGCAGATCAGGGTGCAGCCACGGCTGGGCTGTGATAAATGGCCTATTCCTTCGAGAAAGCAAGATAGTCAGTCCCCTGTCTCTTAGAACACTAATTCCATCACGAGGGCCTTCCTTCATGACTCAGTCATCCCCTTTCAAGGCCCCACCTCCAAATACTATCTGTGTTAGCTTCCTGTTGCTGTGACAAAATAACAGAATAAACTTACAAGAAGAAAAGATACATTGTGGCTCCCAGTTTCAGTCCATGAGTCCCCATAGAGTGTGGTAAGAGTGTCCCACAGTTAGCTTATTTCCAGTCATTCTGGCAAAGGGGAAGGGCAGGGCATGCCTCCCTTTGATGTTTTAAGATATAGCTAGTATTGCACAGAACCAGCTAGTACCAAGCTGTTTGGGGCAGGCATGAAGTCACATAATTTATTACAATCATCTTCCAAAGGGTTTCTTAGACACCTGTTTTGAAGAATAAGTATTTTCAGGGCCGTGGATGAGAGTGGGGATGAACAGCTTGCTTCTGATGGGTAATTATTGGAAATACTCACCTTTCTACCTTTCATCGGAGAGCTAGGTTTTAGAGTGAAAATCCCACATATTCCTTCCTGTGTTCTGCAAATTGCCAAGCATTTGGATTTCGTCTCCGGATCATCCCCTTTCCTTCTTCTCTATGCATTACCCTTCACCTTTGAATAAAGCTTCCTTGCTACTTTGAAGCCTGTGTTCATCTTCACTCATCGTCTCCTTGCTTAAGCTGTGGTGATGGTTTCAGTGGGAACTTGCCACAATTTAAAAACCACTTGAGTAGGGAGCCTGACCTGAAATATTGCCCAGACTGCTTTACCTGATACGGGAGCATCTTCTACCACCAGCTTAGATTTAAAAAAGAAAAGCACAGGAGGAGGAAAAGTTCTCTTATTTGCTCACCCGGCCTTCTTTCTCTCCTGCTGCCAGGGCTAAGGGAGCACTGTGGGAGAGGTGGTGGGTGGGAAGACAGTAAGATCCAGAGGCAGGCAAGACTGGGGCCAAGTACTGTGTTCCAGGCCTGACAGCAGGACTGGTAGAGTCGTTCACTCACAGCAGCCATGCTTGCTTGCACAAACTCAAGCCAGTCTGCATTCCTGATGGGCAGAGATCATGTGAGCTCCCACTCCTGACTGAGGTGCTCAGTGGTTGATGGCTATTTGAGGAGGGAGAATAAGTTTCTTTCAGGCTGTGGTCCCTGGGAGGTTGGGCATGCTTTCAGCATCTGACCTCACACCTGTGCATATGCAGGTAGCCCTGACTGGCTTTAGTGTGCTAGTTGAAGAACATGCATGAAGAACATTTATGAAGAACATGAAGTTGAGCAGGAGATATACGTGAGACCTGGGAGGAGCTGGAGCAGGAAAATAGGGAAGTTGAGTATGATTGAAATACATTGTATGAAATCTTTAAAGAATAAATTTAAAATGTTTATCTGTCTGTCTTTCTGTCTACCTATCTGCCCATCTATCACCTATTGTCTGGGCGTTTTACTGCTGTGAAGAGACACATGATGAAGGCAACTCTTATAAAGGACAATATTTGATTGGAAACTGGTTTACTGTTTCAGAGGTTTAGTCGATTATCATCATGGTGGGAGGTATGGCAGGGTGTAGACAGTCATGGCGCTGGAGAAGCCAAGAGTTCTACATCTTGTTCTAAAGACACCCAGGAGGAGACTGTTGCCCAAAAACTCCCAGGAGGATACTTTGATTCCATATTGGGAAGAGTTTGAACACTAGAAGACCTTAAAGCCCACATCCACAGTGACACACTTCCTCCAACAAGGCCGTGCCTCCTAATAGAATAGTGCCACTCTCTATGGACCAAACATTCAAACACATGAGTCTACTGGGCCAAACCTATTCAACCATCACACCTATCCAGTCTATCTATCTATCTATCTATCTATCTATCTATCTATCTATCTATCTATCGTCAGTGGGTCACATGAGTAAGGGTATAGGGTGGGTTATTGTTTGGGCTTTTCTTTTATGGTGTTCAATTGGAAGAGGCGGTTGGTTACTAATGAGCAGTGACCAAGCCAGCTCAGGCAGTCCACAGGTTCTCCAGGGCAGGAGCAAGGATTAAAAAGAAAAAAGACAATTAGACAACATTGTAGCATGACCCCAGCCAGTTCTGGGGATGACATGGGTCTATTTTTTTCCCAATCTGCTTTTATACCATTTTAATTACATGCAAGTATTATGGTCAGTTCTAGGTTGAGGAACAAGCAATACAATAAATACAAATAGTCAAGGAATAAGCAAGGCAATAAAGTACTGTGATCACTGTTTCTAAGGGCTTATTGGGATGACTAAGGTATCTGAGCCTACTTTCGTGTCCTAGCCCAAAGTCATATTCATGCCTGAAGCCTACTTCTTTGTTTTAGCTTAAAATCAGATTCCTCTCTGAACTTACTCCCTGTCCTGGCCCAATGTTAAATTCATGCCTGGAGCCTTCTTCCTTGTCCTGGCCCAATGTCAAATTCCCGCCAAGTGTCTAGAAGCAAGTGTCCCCAAAAGGCTCTCTACAGAGCAGAGTACAGGTGACTATGTTTTCTGTATTAGTTTTAATGCTGCTGTGATAAAGTATGACCAAAAGTGACTTAAGGAGGAAAGTGTTGATCTGGGCATATGGTTCTAGAGGAAGAGTCTATAGTGGCTAGGGCGTGACAGCAGGGAGCCTGAGTAGGAAGCTGAGGCAGAACATCTTCAACTGTAAACATGAAGCAGAGAGTGAACTGGAAGTGGGGCAGTGCTATGAACTCTCAACAGTCCTTCCCCAGTGGTGAACTTCCTATAGCAAGGCTTCACCTCATAAAGGTTCCAAAGAACATCTCACCAGTTCTGAGCAACTGTACTGCCGTAGTGTATTTCACCTTGCCAGGAGCCATAACTGAATCATGGATCATTACAACAGAATTTTGATGATGAGAATCAGAATTCTGTCTTGCAGTTTTCCATGTCTGGAGAAGGAGGGAGGGTCTTGTCTTCAGTGTGAAGATAATAGATGAGTCTATCTCTTAATTCCTTGAAGGAACTGAGCTCTAGCTCTATCCTGAAAACTGCTGGTTTCCTTAAAGGAGCTGCTGCCAGGGAATGTAGATACTGTTCTTCCCTGAGGATGCCTTGCATCAGCAGAAACAGATCGCCAGTTTTCGTGAATGCCTTGTGCACCTTATGTTTTCAGTGGGTTCAGTGGAGCATTCAGCTGAAACTGGTCAATAGGAAGTTGCTCTAAACCCTCTTAGACTCTGAATTGATCTTTCCTGTTTCAGCACACCAGAGCACAATTTTCAATTCTTCAAATGTGGTTTGAGTAAGACTGGTTCCCATAGCTTCCTATGACTTTGTTGGAGTAGGTGTGGCCTTGTTGTTGGAAGTGTGTCACTGGGGGTGGACTTTAAGGTTTCAAAAGCTCATGCCAGGCCCAGTCTTAACTTTAACTTGGTCTGCAGATGAAGATGTTGCTACTTTCAGCTACTGTTTTAGGGCCATGGTGATAATGGACTAAACCTCTGAAACTGTAAGCAAGCTCTCAATCTAATGTTTCCTTTTATAAGAGTTGCCTTAGTCATGGTTTCTCTTCACCACAGTAGACCAGTGGCTAAGACATTTACCATTATAAGCAAGCCTTGCCTGCTGAGCATGGTTATGCATCCCTTTGGTCTCAGTATTTAGGAGGGAGAGGCAGGCAGATATCTGTTAGTCTGGTGATAGCTTGGTCTACATAGTTAGCTCTAGGGCATCCAGGGATACACAGTGAGACCCCTGTGTAGTGATTCGAATATGCTTGGCAGTGACACTATTAGGAGGTGTGGCCTTGGAGTAAGTGTAGCCTTGTTGGAAACAGTGTGTCACTGTGGGGATCCCTCCTCCTAGCTGCCTGAGGACAGTCTTCTGTTTGTCTTTGGAACAAGATGTAGAACTCTCAGCTTCTCCAGCACCATGCCTGCCCAGACACTGTCATGGTCCTGACTTGGTGATGATGGACTGAACCTCTGAAACTATAAGCCATCCCCAATTAAATGCTGTCTTTTATAAGTGTTGCCTTGGTCATGATGTCTGTTCACAGCAGTAAAACCCAAACTAAGACATCTTGTCTCAAACAAAACAAAACAAACAAAAATACGCCCCCTCCTCCCAAACCAACCAACCAAACCAAACTAAGACAAACAATAGACCAAAGAATAGCAAAACTCTTCTATGCTACAAAACTGAAGATTGCTTTTTTTCAGTTCACTAACTATAACTTGAAGACAAGATCCTGCTATATGAAGTTCAGACTGGCCCAGAACTCATTATCTTGCCCCAGCCTTCCTATTGATGGGATTTTAAAGCGTGCAACATCAGAAACAGTTCCTTTCAATCTTGTAAAACTGGAAAAAGCATTAGGTAAGTAAAATTGTTTGCCACTTTGT